GAGAAAGTGGTCAGAAAGCATTCCAAGTAGAAGGAGAGGACACACAAAGGCCAGAGGGCTAGAAGCAAGGCTGGGGGCGGGCGCTGGAGGCAGAAAGGAGGGACGGTGGTTGCAGTGAAGGCTGGTCACAAAGTCAGGATCACACGGGACTCTCCCCAGTTCCCAGCCTCGGGTGCACATCCTTCCTGCAACTGCAGACTGCAGGTCTCAGGCACACAGACCCAGCTGAAGGCGAGCCACACCAGTGAGCCAACCTGCCGACCCTGACTGAGCAGGTATGGTTCTCACAGCAGCCACATCCCAGACACCTGTCTTCTTCCCTCAAATGGCTCTCCAGACCCTTGTTCAGGCAGTGTGTTTTGTGTTATCATTCTGATGCTCTTCCTTGGTAATCGAGCATATAGCTGGCCATTCTTGAAGAGAAATCTTCCCTCCTTACTATCTTCACCTCCACTTTTCCTCATCTTGAAGACTGGGCTCAGTAAGCAGCCATGAAGCTGACGTGGATGTGGGATTCTGAGCCACCACTGGCCCTTGGCCATCTGCAAGTCCATCTGGATGGCCCATCCACTCCGTGCAGGGTCCTCACAGAGCTTTTGCCCAGTTCCAATCCCGCAAAGGGATACTGACACTGCTGTCAACCACTCCCACCCACACCACCCATTCTCTGGCCATGAATCCATCCACCACTGCTGGCATCTCTCCAGCACAGCAGGAAAGTCATCCCCTAAGGATCGCCCATCGCCAGCGAGTATCCAATTCAAGGTGGAGGCTTCTCCCACGGCCCTGCCCAATCAGACAAGCATCTCTATTAAACCATGGGCTTCTGCTCATCACTCCACCCAGCTCTCCTACAACACTAACTTTCTTCTAAAGTCAAGTCCACGGTTAGGAATTCATATGACAGACAGTTTATGCTCATGCGTCAACCCACATGAACTATGGCTTCATTATAATATCTGCTACACAAAAAAGTTTTGCATACCCAGCGATTATTTTTGTTTTATGCTGCCATTTACAAACTGTTCTCAACTTGAAAATCAGGCTGTGAACAGTGGCTCAGCACTTTGGGAGGCCAACGCGGGCAGATCACTTGAGGTGAGGAGTTCAGGACCAGTCTGGCCAACATGGTAAAACCCCATTTCTACCAAAAATATAAAAAACTAGCCAGGTGTGGTGGCACATACCTATAATCGCAGCTACTCGGGAGGGAGAGGTACAAGAAGCACTTAAACCCAGGAGGCAGAGGTTGCAGTGACCCAAGATCGCACCACTGCACTCCAGCCTGGGTGACAGAGAGAGAATCTGCCCCAAAAAAAAAAAAAAAAAAGAAAAGAAAAGAAAAGAAAAGAAGTAGTTTTACAACAAACCTAAATCTCAATCCTGTAAAAGGAGTCACAGAAGCCAGCTGTGACTCTAAAATCCATTTGTTTACATGATGCCCAGCCACAAATGTCGCTGGCCTCTGATGCGTTCTTTTTCCCCAGCAGGTTTGGGGGCACTGGTAGGAGTCAGCTGCCTTGGTACCTGGCTCTGAACAGCTTTGGGAGCCTTCTCCAAGATGTGTCACATGTCCAGTTTTGTTTTGACAGAAAGAAAAGCTCTTTGTGTGGAATTTTATCTGAAGTCAGTTTGTGAGGAACGCTATCTCTTCTGTGATTCAGAAGAAGAGAAGTTTCGGTTTTATGATTTTGCAGACAGATCACAGGAAGCTGCTTAGCAAATTTTTTCTTAGTTGCTTTCCTTGATTCTGTTTTTCCTTCCATGGGTACATCATACATCGTTGCCAAACACTGGATTTGAACTGATTGAAAGAGGCTCTATTTTCTGTGAACAATTTGTCCTTGTGCAATCCTGATTGTCACTCGCCTATAACTTATTTAATTTTACATCTCAGCAAATACAGTATTATTTCTCCAATAGAGTTGGCTTCTGAATCACTCTACTGGTTATTTATCATACATATCTGTAATTGAATTACCTATTAGTGTGATTTACTCTCACTTGTACATATAAATGCAACATAAAATAACATTTTTCCAGTGTGTACTTCCTCATTATTCTACATGAACCCTAGGTTAGCCAATTCTACAGAAATACAGTGACAAATAATGAGGGAAAGATGGGAAGATAAAAGATTAGTGGTTTCATGAGCTTTTGATAATAAAAGAAATTCAGCCTCTAAAAAAATTTTCTCTTTTAAAATAGTTTTTCCCCCCAAGTGTTAATCAGGAAACCAATTCTAGGAAACCAGTCAGGAAAAAAAGAGTTTAGAAACAGAATGATTTTACTTCTTTGAAATGCAATACTATTTTAATACATTTTAAAATGTAGGAAAGGGAAATAAAGTGTGTTTGCCTTTGCTCTCGTCAAACAACCATTAATCTTGGACAAAACAAGAAGGAGAAGAAAGAAAACGACAACAGCAATTCCTTTGGGAAAATTTTGTCTTCTTGAGCCCACTGTTATGTTACTCCTATTGTAAATGTCACGCACAAGGTGAAATACGGCTTGTCTTTGAAGTTGCCTGGCTTCAAAATACTCTGTGAAACAGACAGCCAGGTTTCCTTAGCCATACAGTCTTTTAGATGGAAAAGACTGTGCCAATCCAAGTATGTTGAAATAAATTCCTATTATTCAATACCTTTTCTTGGATCAAGTTTTCATTTGTTTTCTTCTATTTGGATTCAGTTCTGAATCAAAGCAAGTTTTGAGTAGGCTCATTGATATTGAGAAGTTTATCTATATATATTCTAGCTTAATTTTGCTTTTTCCTCTTTTCTCCCTATCAGAAATTGATTTTGTATATTCAGATGACCAATTCCTAAAAAATTCATCTGAAAAGTACACTACATATTTACCAAGCATACCCACATCTGTTCCTCCAAAGTGCTTCCCAGGAGCCACATCTCACCTGCTGAATTTATCCCCAGATTGATCCTAATCTGTACAGGAATTAGAAACAGAAGATTGCCCCCTATCTACAGCAGATCATTTCTGCAAGGCAGTAGAGTGATAAAAATCTCATTTTCAACCAAACTTCTGCATCTCAATTTAAAAAGGTTGCTGAGACATATGTGAAATTGTCTGTGTTGTCAAGTGTGCTCAAGACAACTAAAAGTACTTACAGATGCTCATTTTAGGATTCAAGAAAACAACTTTCTTGATACAAATTTGCAAATAGATGCAGGTGAACAGAAATAGACAAGTTTTCACTTTAGACACTTTGCACTTAGGTATAACTCCATGTGTTAGGCACCATAATTTACATTTTAAACATTATTTAACACATAAAAACTTGTCACCTTGGTATGATTATACCCAAAGCAATTTGTCTGGGTAACTATAGCAACAATTGCAGAAACATTTTTAAACACAAAATTGGTATAATTTTAGAATAAAGAATTATGGAGGACTTATTGCAGGAGGTAGGGCTGCTTTACCCAAATAATGGTATGTATACTACTACAAAAATGCACTCCTTGACTGGGATATATTATAAACTAATTTGTTCTATCTTGCACACCGTCTGCTTTGTAACTCAAACCTTTTCCTTGGGATAAGTTTCTGATGTTAGTTAACTACAGGGTTCATGATCACTTGTCTACATCATGGAATGCCTTTATACCTTTGGCTGGACATTTAGTGAAGGTTTTCTGCTCCTCCCCCACATCTTCCTGTATCAAAAGCAAAGACTCAATTTCAATGACTTTATGACCAAAAAAAAAAAATAATAATTTGAGACAGTTATAATAATCACCAAGTTAAATCAAACTGTCAAGCTTCAGATAGGCAGCTCTCTCTAACATCAGGAGCATTTGACATTGACCACAAAGAGCTGGCATCTCTTATTTTGGGCCACTAGCGCACAGCACAGCGAAAGGCTTGTTGGCTTTAACATATGTCCTTTACCAGGAGGCTAACATGACTCTGGAGCTAAATTTTTTTCTGCAAATCCATGGACAGGGCTTCAGAAGTCCCATGACTCTCCAAAATTTATGCAGAAGCTTGTATAAATGTGTATTTATTTTGGTCTCATGTTCAATAGGTTTTAACAGCCTCTGTGCTATAAGTTTCTATGTTTCATTCTCCCCAGACATGTGATGAAATCATTTTATAGGGAAACAGCAGTGAAAAACACAGGTTTATTTTTACCAAATTCTGACCATCTCAAAAATTTATTTTGGACAGAGACAAGCTTTACCACCCAGGAGACCAAAGCCTTTGCTCTCAGCAGGGATATTGCAGCTGTTTGACATTAAAACAACCAAATAAGTTACTGCAATTCACAGAAGACATAAAATGATTAGCATCATCTGTCTTCTCCCTGTTAATAAAAGTATATATTGGCTAAAAGCACATAAAAATAGATGTCAGTTTCTCAACCCCACAGTTCAGAGTATCCAAATTCTTAGTGTGACTGCATGGAGCAACGTGAATGAGCAAGCTTCTATCTCCAAAGTTTTTACAAGAAAGAAACTCAAGGAAAAAAAAATCTGTGTTTCAAGTGAACCAAACAATTACACTTAGGGCTGCTTTCTAAGGAAAAACAAACCTAGGAAAAGAAATCTTTTGGAGGGGAAACAAAAATCCATGTTTCTTTTGGTGTAAATACATGCACAGACAAGAAACTTATTTCGGTTATACATAACTTAATGGTATTATCTGCTTCAACCGAAATTGTAAAGTGGTCATGATAAGATTTACGTTCTCTAAAATAATGAAACTGGCATTAATTAGCAACTCATTCAAAAATCCTAATTAGGTATTGAAAAACCTTTCTTACTAAAGTCTGGTTTTGTGTTTCTGTCTCCTTATGAAAAGGCTATAATTAATAACATATCTGCTGGTTCCAAACTCAGCCATTATGACAGAGCTCTTCTGGGTAAGCGAGAGATAAAATCGTCTATCTTCACAATAAACAAGAACAATCATTTGTGACTCCTGGTGTGTTAACTGAAGCACCCCTAAAAAGCAGAACAATATTAAACAAAACTCACGTTATCTTCCCTCAATTTCGATTTCTTTCTGGGTAAGTCACAGGGAAGAAGACAGATGCCCAGGCAGGAAGAGTTTACAGGGATCTTTTTCTCTGGAAGACACCTTTCTAGTTAGAGCACTTATGTCTGGCCACCTCCTTTCCTGTCCCCTCTTCTAGCAAGGCTGATAGCTCTCCATAGCCACCAGAGCAGCTCCCCCCATCCCCAGCCCCCACAATGAAATGACTGCGAGATCTGCCTGGCTCTGCTGTTTGTTGCCTGGGACCCCCACCCACTCGCCTAGGACCCAGCAACTGCCTGTGGCTCCTCATCCTCCGAGCGCTCGCTCGCAGCGCCCCCTGCCGGGGATCACGAGAACGCCGCAGGCACAGGAAAGTTAAATCCCAACTCCAGCCGCCGCATCCAGGTACAAAGCAAGCAAAGGGCGAGGCGGTGAACGCGCTTCCCGCCAAAGCCCGGGGAACCGGGATGTGACCGCGCCAAGCCAGGCACCCAGCGCCGCGCGGAGCGGGCCCGGAATCGCTCCTCCACGACTGTTCCCACGCACATCTTGGGAGAAATAGTTCCCTTTGGGGCCCGATCTGCCTCCGGTCCCGAAACCTTGAGCCAGGGTATGCAAAATCCGCGGAGCAGCAGAGGGATGCCGGGGGAAAGGGGCTCGCCTGGCTGCAGCCCACCTGGCTGGCGGTTCCCCAGGCCTCTGCATCCCCGCCTTGGTGTCTTTCATTAACCAAGGTGCTTGGCAGAGTTAAGCCCAAGTCCCCTTGCCTCCAGGTTCCCCTGTAAGGAAAGCAAGAAAACCTGCCCAAGCCGGCGGGGCTGCGAGGTGGCGGCTCCCGGACAACCAAGTCCCGACTTCCGAGTCCCTGGTCCCCGACCCCCGGCAGTAAGAGCCTGGAGGCGCGCCGGGTACGCGCACAGACCACCGCGCAGCTTTTGGGGTGTTGGGCAGGGGTCCCGTCTCGCCGACCGAGATACTCCGGTTCCTTACCTCTGCAAGCTCAGACCTCGGCACAGGCGGGTACACAAACTTCCAACCTGTGCACTGCCTCAACTGTGGGCGCCCCCGGAACTGACGGCGGTCCTAATCTTATGCACGCAACCCCATCACCCGCCCAGGTGCCTGCTGATGGATCCCACCCGACATCGACGCCACCCACCAGCCGACGGTGCCGTACCCAGGTCCCGGCCAGCGGCGCGGCGCGGTCAGGGGCTCCGGCAAAGACCATGCAGGGATCGGGCGTGGGTCGCTCACCAGGTGCGGGGCGTGCTCCTCGTGCCAGTCATCCAGCACCTGGGGCCAGAGCGGCTCCGAGGATCCTCTTCAGCACCTGGCTAGGGAAGTGGAGGCAGCAGCTGCAGCCACCCCTGCCACTTCCTCAGAGCCGCCCCCCACTCGCTGCGCTCTAGAATGGGGGCACCGGCTTGAGGGCCAGGAAAAGAGTCCCCGAGCGCGCGGCCAACCGGTGGGTGGCCAGGTTCGCACACAGCAGAGACAACCGGCAAGGTGGCAAAGTTGGGTGTCCGCGCCAGCTCCGCGGGGCAGTCGCGGGTGGGAGAGGGAAGCGCCCCAGGATAAGCCACACTGTCCGGGCCGTCCCGGCAAAGGGAAGGTGGAGGGCCGCGGCCGGCCTGGGGCTGCGGAGCCCACCCGCGGCGGGAAAGCAGCGCGCGGGAGCGGGCGCAGCGAGAACAGCAGCCACCAGCGCCGCCTTCCCGGCGAGTAGATCAGCGCGGAGCGAGCGGGCGCTGAGAGCCCGGGGCGGGGAGCGCGGGGCCGCCTGGGCCCGCCCCCGCCCCGCCCCCGCCCCGCCCCCGCCGCTGCGCCTCCTCCTCCTCCTCCTCCTCCGTCTCCTCCCTGCCCGCGTGAAACTCGAGCGCCCCACCCGCGCCTGACCTCCCCGAGCCCCTCCCCGAGCCCCTCCCCGGGTCCCGCCCCTTCCCGGGACAGGACCCCCCCGTTGCTCCCGGACGCCCCGCTGCACCCCAGGAGTTCCATTCCCGCCTCCCTAGTGCCAGTGCGGCCGTGCGCTGACTTTTGGGGGCTCCCTCCCCCGTCTCACAGGGCCCTGCTGCAGCTCCCTCCCTGGGTCCCGACTCAGACGTGGCTGCACCCAGGAGGGGGGCGCCGGCCGAGACTGGAGACGTGGCGCGCCGGCTCTGCTGGCCTCTGCTCCAGGTACGTGCGCTCCCCTCGCCCGAATCTGACCTCGGGGGTGGGGGACAGGGGCCGTCTGGTCCTTCGGAACTCGAACTTTGTGATTTTGTTCTTTCTGTGTGACACCCTCATCCGTTCTCAGAGGGAAACTCCTTAAAGAAGAGTAGAGAGTCACTGTGGGTTCTCGGAGGAGCGGTTTGGGGCTGAGCCTCCGGCTAGTTGGGGTCGATTTCAGCGGGATTAAGTCCAGGAAATGAACAAATCTGACGAACCAGGGAGGCAGGTGAAGGGGTCACCAGGTAGCCACGCGGAGCGTTAAGAGAGAAGTCCCGTATGGTCAGTCACTCGTCCAATTCTGGGACAAATATTACTTGTTGCACTTTTGCAGGATCTTTGGGCCTTACTGAGTACTCAGGTGAAAAGTTTGTAATCGGGAAGCAAGTAAAGTACCTTTGAAAGCTTGTATAATTGGATACTTTGGTGCGGTTCTTCAGCTTCTCAAGAAGGTAGTTGAGCGGGGAGGAAGAGGGTCAGCCTCGCCAAAAAAACAAATGGTAAACTTCTGGGAGTATAAGGCATAAAACTTGGGTTCAGAGTCCTAACTGGCCTTGAGCGGCCCTTTCCCACTGGATGAGGCTGCGGGACAATATCTCTGGGCCCCTTTTTCCTCCATCTGTGCCTCAGAGAGAGGCTTCAAGATCCCTTCCACAAGGAAACGCATGCATGCCCCATCCTAAGCGAAGTGAGGTAGGGACCCTGCAAGGACCCACGTTCACACCAGCGCCCTTCCAGCCAGTGGTGGGTTGTGGATGGGCCTCGCTGGTACTGGGAACGGTCCGCCGCGTCCATAAGGCTTCCACTGAGCTCATCCATAAAACAAAGAAGCTATTGGTGGCTGCAGGGTTTCACAGCTCTTACAGTAGCCATGCAGACCTAACAGGGCGATGGAAATAAAAATTGCCATCGATGTGTCTTTATGTTCTAGAACTTTTTTTTTTTTTAATGAAAGAATTAAGTGAAAGCAATTCCTATGGTTTCTATGGAAGCCCAGCCCAGCTCCAAATGCCCAGTCTCTGGCACAGGTGACCTGGCTGTCTTGGGTACTCAGGCCTTCTGGGGATTTCCTTTAAGACCTCTGGGAGGAAGTGTCAGTAGCTGAGCAGGCCTCCTTGGCAAGCATTCTTCCCTGTGTTGTGGCAGGGCTCCCGGCCTGCTGTGTGGCAGCTGCAGGCTCCTGGGACCTGAACCAGAACCTTAACTGTTCTCCCTTCCGTTGCTTGGCACTTAAGGCACTAGTTCCATTCCAGACATTCCGACTCTCTTGCCTACGTGGCACAGGGGCCTGGGAGCCTCCCTGCGAGGAAGAGGCAGGCCAAGGTCTTGCCGGGCTGCTTCTAGAGGGGAAGATGTAGGGAAGAAGCTGCCTTCTACTTGGATTCTGCAGCCTTTGTATGGACCTGTGGAGCCTGTGTGGCCGGAATGAGGGAGACAGAAATTAGAAACCAATGTATAATGTATTCAACGAACCCTATTCTTACCTCTCAACATTGCAGTTCATACTTTTTTAAAAAAAAAAAAAAAGGCCAAAAATTCTTGGCATATAGAGCTAAGCGGTGGGAAGAAGACAGCTTTCTAACCATAACCCAGAAGGTGTGATGGCATAACATTTAACTGGATACACTATGTAATTTTGTGTGTATGGGGGGGGAGTTGAATTCAGTTTTGCTGTTTATAGGCTACAACAATACATTGTTAGAGGATGTATATTTTAGTGATGATGAATTACAAAATAATTGCTAATGTGCAGGAAAATAAACCAAATTATAATTTAGAGTGCATCCTTATTTTAAAGTGAAATGGATCTAAATTGAGGAGATAGTTTTGAGTTTTAACCTGGGGAAAGTTCCTTAACTTTTCTGAGCTATAGTCTCTTCACCTTGAACTTAGGCACACCAATCTGGCAGGTGAAGTCAGTTGTCTTCTTGAAAGGAGAAAGATGATAATCTGTGTAAAATACTCATCAAGCACCAAGCATATAAGCAGGCTTTCCATAAATAAAGTCATTTTCAAGTATCCAGAAGTATTTCCTTTTTCTAAGCAAAATTTCTTTTTATTTCTTTGTAAAGGTCTTGCTTTCTAGAGTTACCTGCATTAAACTGCACTTCATCACATTATGAAACAAAAAAATGTTTAATTCTCTTCTTTTCAAAATAAAATCTAGCTCTCCCTAAACTGTTTTACCTGAGCCATGCACGCCATGTGAAAGAATGAGGAGACCAACAGAACACTTGGTGAAAATGATGAATTCTGGGGCGCTGATTCCTGTGACTTGAAAAACGCCATCCATTTCCTGATTCACCTCAATTTCTGTTTGGAACTATGAAAGATCATTTCCGTTTCGGAACTAATTGACAAAGTTTGTCTTGTCTTTACTTCCCTCCCTAGTGCCTGAATTTCAACCACATCCCTAAGCTGCCATCTCAGACCGAGAAACAGGGAGGGGGGCTGGAAAGAGCATCACCTGGAAGAAGTCACGACATGACTGTGGGCCATGAGTGACCTTCAAAGGAAAGCTGGGTATCTGTGGTCTTTAAGATGTGATTAAGATTGTATTAAAATTATAGAAAAACCTCAATCCCGAAATTGTGGTCTCTTGACATTTACATCTTAGCTGGATTTTCCTACCAAAGAGCCAGGAGACACACTACAATCATCCTCCGCGAGTGTTCTCTTTATACCCTTTTTTCATTCTTTTAGATCCATGGCATTTAAGAACTGAGGAAATGAATAGATCATCTGATCAGTCCCATCAGTCGTTTTCCTAATGCTAAACTTTGGTACAAAGATGTGAAGCTTGATGTCTCACTAAGCTTGCCCCGTACTGCTTTATTGCTCACCTACCTCAAAGTATTGGGAAAACATGATTATGGGTACAGGTGATGCTGTGTTTCCTCCCAAACAGTTTTCTTTTGTCAGATTCTTTTGATAGATTAAGAATCTACAAGTGGGGAGATTTTAAGGAAATATCAGCCCAGCTGCTACACTTGGGTTTCACCGAAACATCTTTAGGGTTCTCTTACCCCAAGAAACATGCACTCCTCTTTAGTGTAGCAGTCCACTCTGTTGGCAAAGTTAAGCAGACTAGTTTTATTTAAAAAGAGCCAGCTGGGCACAGTGGCTCATGGCTATAATCCCAGCACTTTGGGAGATGAGGGCAGGCAGATCACGAGGTCAAGAGATCAAGACCATCCTGGCCAACTTGGTGAAACCCTGTCTTTACCAAAAATACAAAAATTAGCCAGGCACAGTGGCAGGAACCTGTAATTCCAGCTACTAGGGAAGCTGAGGCAGAAGAATTGTTTGAACCTGGGAGGTGAAGGTTGCAGTGAGCCAAGATCATGCCACTGCACTCCAGCCTGGGTGACAGAGTGAGAATCCATCTCAAAAAAAAAAAAAAAAAAAAAAGGAGCCATCAAGAAACTTAGACAGATAGAAAATACTTGAGGCACAGATGAGAATGAGCACAGATGTGCATAGCAAGCGCAGTTTCTTGGTCCTTAAACTGAACAGCCAGGTCAGTCTGCTCCTCCAGGCACAGCCTGAGACCCCATCACGTGCCTTGCTCTGCAGTCTGAGTTTCCACCCAGGGCCTGCCTCACACTGCCCATGTCTACTCAGAGGGTTGCACTATACCACTGCTACATGTTCCCAAAGGTTGGCACAGCATGAC